GTTAAAGCACTAGGCTGCTAACCAAAAGGTCGGTGGTTCCAATCCACTGGCTGCTCTGTGGGAGAAAGATGGGGCAGTCTGCTTTCATAAAAATTACAGCCTTGGAAACCCAATAGGGTGGCTGTACTCTATCCTTTAGGGTCTCTATGAGTTGGATAACCCAGCAGTGGGTTTAGTTTTTGGTTTATAGCACCTGTATGCAGAATACTGTCAATAAATGTTAGCTGCTACTTGTCAATTTTTACCTATAAAAATAATAATTCTACATCTGCCCCATCTCTTCAAAAGTCCCTGTGGCTCACTTCATATTATTATTTCAGATAAACTACAATCATTTAAATAATTTATATTTCAAGTCATGCCTGGATATCCTGATCCCTTTCTTAGAAATAGGAAAATACCTTACTTAATCAACAAGATGTTTATAAATCCATTGTAAATTACTTTGCAGATAAACACTTTCATCTTCGTTGATTGCCGTGGAGTTGATTCCAACTCTGACGACCCCATTAATGCACACAGTTGAACTCCAAAGGGTTTGCAAGGCTGTGACCTTTCAGAAGCAGATGGTCAAGCTGTCTTACTAGGTACCTCTGGGTGGGTTTGAACCCCCAACCATTCATCTAATAGTCAAGCACTTAACTGTTAGCACCACCTAGGGATTCCTAGACTTTTACATAAGATACTCACTTTTAATCATTTGAAGTTTAGGAAAACACTTAACTAAAATATACCTTTCTGAAACTATACTGGGTACAGCCTACATTTAAGAGGTAGTGAAAGAATAGTCAAATAGAAGTCATCATCTCTGAAACTGATAAGTAGGAGAATCAAGAAAGATTAGTTAAGGGAAATAGAGAATACAATTTTAAAAAGATTGGATTAAAAAAAAAAAAAGATCAAACGGAGGTAGTATTATTTTTATTTTTTTTTTATAGTCATTCAGTAATATTTGTTGAGTACCTGCCTTATGCTGGATATAAAAACCAAACCAAACTCTGCCGTCAAGTTGATCCCGATGTTATAGAGTCTGGGAATTCTAGTGAGCAAAACGGATGAAATCCCTACGCTCATGAAGCTTAAATTCTGGTTGGAGGAAAAAGACATAATTAAGTAAATGTATAATTTATCAGGTGGTGATGCTGTAAAGAAAATTAAGACATGATAAGGGAGATAGAAAGGAGCCCTGGTGGTACAACAGTTAGTTAAGTGCTTGGCTATTAACCAAAAGGTTGGCTGTTCAAATATACCCAGCAGCTCCATGGTACAAAGACCTGGTGATCTGCTTCTATAAAGATTACAGCTTAGAAAAAAGTGGGGGGGATCAGTTTTGCTGGTCCGACAGAGCCTGGTGGAACCACTGAGACTATGGCCCCTAGATGCCCT